AAGGAACATATTTAGCTCATTTGCATCTTTTGATTGTTCACTGTACTTGCTTTGAAAATGAATACAATTCTCCAGTCACAGACTGCCCTGAATAGGGAATTTATTCTGACTTTAGCAGTGTGGAAATAATTCAAATATCTTTCCTCTCAGTTTCTTCTTAACATAGATTCAATCACACTATTTTTTGTCTTACACAACAGAAATGCAGTGAGATAAAGACTAGTAACTGATCCCTAATTTTCTGAATATACATATTTAAAACATCACTTCTTTATTCTATTCAAATGTTTCTAAGGAGGTGCATGAAAATTCAGAAGTTCTAGATCTCAGTGGGAAGGATTTGGGGTTGGAGGTAGGGGAACAAAGGTAGAGATGTATGCACCTAAGGAGATGAGATCAATAATGTTGAACAGTGGCCCAGGAGCTCATGATCAAATTAGGTAGGTTAGCATCCTGTAAAACAATTTAGCATGTAGACTTCACTGTTACTCTTGTTGCCTTTTTACTAAAGAGAAAGCAAACAAAAAAAATCCCATAAATTGTCATTACCTTTACAGACACCAAAATGGCTAAGACAATGTTCACCACCTTCAGTAAACCTAATACTCTGGCAGCTCTTTACTTGGGTAAGTGACTTTCTCCCCATATCCAGCCATCTCCTTATGTTGTATTTTGAATAGGAAATCTTGCCGGTAAAAAAACATCACAGAAGACCCTTGATTCTAGGCCAACCAAAGTATTTCTAGAAAGGAATAATTCTGGACGTATGTGATACAGTCAGAAAATATGGTGAATGTCAAATTTTAAAATGATTTACTAGAGTTAAAAAAATGCCATTAATTCCCCTCAAAATATTTCCCCTTGCTTCAGACACACTTATTCCATCATTCTTGCCACTTTCTGAAGCAGTTCTGGAAGTTCTTTTGCATTAATGTCCTCAGCTGCCTAGATTTCAATCTATTCAAAGCATTTACCTTGCATTGTTGTTTTGACTTCAGGGAAGAACTACAGGTCACATGGTGCCAGTCCCATTGAATAAGTAGAAGAGAACGCATCAGAGTATTTTTACCAGCCTGCCTTGCCACTGGATGGCATTCACTAGCAGTATTCACTATTTTTTTTATCATATCTCATAAAGATACTCACAAAAGACTTTAAGAAGTGCTTCAGAAAGTAGCAAGAAGAATCAAATAAATGTGTTTGAATCCAGGAGAAATATTATGAGGTAGGTTAATAGCAATGTATCTTTTATAAAAATAATTTTTTAAAAAATTTAAACATTCATGGCATGCAGTATTTTGATCACACCTCATATCTTTCTAATAAATAGAAATTATTGTTATTTGAGTTATACTTAAGGTAGGGTGGGTCATCATCTAATTTGACCACATACTAAAAGAGAACTAACACTTGCATCGTTAGATCTTTATCAAAGTCTCAGACAATTATATTTGGATTTCACATTTAAAGTGGTAAGCAACAAGGCGACAACCTCATATATAGGCATATTTCAGAGTATGAAATTTGAAGTCAAAGATAGGAATTGAGTATTTGTTATTTTCTACTAGTGTGACTTTGGACAAATGAAATTAATTTGTTAGTGCTTTGATTTCTTTATCTGTACAATACAGATCATAGTTTCAAATTTTAATTTTTTTAGATTCAAATGAAATAAAACGTATAGTTCTTGGCACTGGGCCTTCAATATATTTAAGCATTAATCTGTGCTAGTTATTTTCTGTTATTGTCTCTCTTGACCTGTGTCCTCTGGAAGGTTGAATCCTACCATTTGGATATGGCCATTGGCAGGGCTGGATCAGATGTTAAAAGGTCGGGGTAAGATGGTTATTTATTTCCCATATTCTTTGCTGGCACCATTCCTTCAATTTTGGCACTAACTCCCTGTAGCCACTGCTGTGGTTCCACAGCCCACCTCCCACCTCTAGGGCAGACCTAAGAACGATCGTGGTTTTTCTTCCCACTGCCGTTTCAGGTACTTCCTCCCCATGTTGCTTGTTCTAAATGCTTTTTCATCATTTTTTGGTTTCCTTAAGGCCTTTCTAAACTTTTTCTTTATGAAACTTTTTTCAGTTAAGTCCTCTATAGGAGCCACTAGTTTATGCTGGGACTTTGGCATGCATAAAATATCAATAAGAACTTTATTTGGACATAGTAGAGAATGTCTTCTTTGACAAATTATTTAAGAAGTAGAAGAAGCTAATACAAGACCTACATAATCCAATGGTAAACTTATTGGCCTGGTAATGGTTTGTTATTTTGATGTAAACCCAGCTTTGAAGGCTGGTGAGAGTTTGTTTAGATGGCAGGGGGTAGTAGAAAGGAAGGGTGGAGTTCTTTTCTAGATGCATAATGAGCAGGAGGATTAAGAGAAAAGTAAGGAAGAGTAATTGAATATAGTGGAGACTTTATGTTACAGGATATGGCAGGCAGAATAATATTGGTCTCTCAAAGATGTCCTATCCTAACCCCTGAAACATGTAAATATGTTACTTAGATGTAAAATGGGGCTTTCCAGATGTAATTAAATATTTTGAGACAGGAAAGACTATTTTGTTGGAATAACCCTAATATAAACAAAGGAATCCTCATGAAGGCAGTAGTATCAAAGTCACAGGGAGAGATATCTTACTGGCTTTAAAAACAGAGAAAGGCAAGTCAAGGAGAGTGCAGGTGGCCTCTCAGTGCTGGAAAAAGCAAGGAAACTGAGCCTCCAGAAGAAATGCCAGGCAGCATCTTGATTTTAGCGTAGAAAGACATGACTTAGAGAACTATAGTACAGTAAATTTATGCTGTTTTTAGCTGGTAAACTGGTATGGCAGTTTGTTACAATGGCAATAGGAAACTGATTACAGGGGTACTAGGAAAGGGGCTGGATTAGCATGATCTGTTGAAAACTTTAGGGTTTATATGACAGGCACAAAAGACTACTAAAGATTGTTGACTAAAATCTTACATATAATGAGAAAGACTCTTTAGGATGGTAGATTAGAGATTAGGTTCAGGCAGTTTACCTTTAAAAAGATAAATTCTACAGTAGTGGGCGTGGGTGAGTATATTGATGAGATCCCAGATTAGGTGTGGATTCCATGAAATGGCAAGTTTCCAAACATAAGGAAGAACTGATAAGAAGGAACTGATAGAATGTGCCGATTGAAAGGGAAACCAACAAAGAAAAGGAAGAAATCAAATTTCAGTTCCTTAATGTTGTATTGTGAAGTGGGAATAAATTATAGCATGTATGAGCAACCTGTTGCTTCTAAGTCAGTAACATATTTTCAATTCTAAACTTCAATATTATTCCCTTAAGCACAAAAAGAATCAAGTATCATAATTTTAAACTATCTTGCATTATTTTCCTATAAGTCCCTTCCCAGGGTCAGCAATGTATACTATACCAACAAATATGAAAATTATAAATTGTTAATCTTCCCTTTCCTTCTTAAAGTTTCATTTTTTTAAATCTGTTTTAGAGGACACGGAAAACTAATTAGGTAATTTCTGCACTAGTGATTACTTTTTTGGTAATATGGAAAAGGTACAATTTGAACTGTTATGGAATTATTTAGACTTTTCTTAATAACAAGAAGAAAATACAGCCGGGTGTGGTGGTGCACACCTGTAATCCCAGCACTTGGGAGGCTGAGGCAGGAAGATCTCTTTGAGTTTGAGACCAACCTGGGCTACACAGTGAGTTCCAGGGTGGTCTCAACTACATAGTTGTCTCAAAAAACCAAAAAAGAAAAAAAAAAGAAAAGAAAAAGAAGAAAACACAGACTATCTCCAAAAATTTGGGCTAGGGATGAATCATAGGTTGAGCATGTGTAAAGGGTAATGACAGTAGCTGGTAAATTAAACCACTCGCTGGCTGTAATGCTGTTCAGAAGTTACCACTGTTTGGATTATTGGACATTTCCGGAGAAGTGAAAAATGTTTGGATGAAAAGCCAGTAGCTCATTATGCACTCTCTTAACACCACCTATGAAAAAAAAATAGCTCTGCATATTCATAATCCCTTTCTAAGCGATCTTCATAAAAGGTAACGATGGTTGATCACCTAAAGTCGCATTAAACTAGATGGGTTCCTCTTATTTTTAATGGTAAACACTAACAAATATTAATAAGCATACCAACAGTAAAAAAAGAAAAAAAAAATCAAACAACTGAGAGTCAGTGATATGCTAAAGGAAACCATGATGTCATTAACCAGGTCATTTTCTTTCACTTAAGGTTTTCACCCCTACCCTTCCAGTCTACTGTCTGTCATCATTTCAACTTTCCCTCTTAAGCCAGTAACTTGTATAAAGATCTGAAAGAGTTAATCATTTGGACAATCTCGAATAAGGCAATCCTCTAAATTGGATATATTTTTACATTTCTTCTTTGTTTTTAAAATCCCACCTTCAAAGTATACACTTTAAGTGAAACAATACTATTATTTTGCATCTTAATAGTCTGCGCTGTTCAATATTTCTCCGTTTCAAAATGTTTCTCTACTCGGTTGCTAACACAGAATCACTGTTTCAGGACAGGAGAGAATTTTACACTGCATTCTGAATCTATTCGGCTAAATTTAGCAGAGTATCTTAAACACTAGCCCACAAGAAAACGACAGAATGTCCATTCACGAACACCCCGAGAGTCGGAACTTTGACTATAAATCAGTCACCGTCTAGTTATTCCAGAAAAAAGAGGTGGAAAAACCATTTCAGCCAATGGACATGGTAAGCACAACTTTAATTTGCGAATCTAACTCTACTAGGTAAAAGTTTTCAGCACTGCCTCACTCCCGCTGCCGGGCTGGAGAGGCTGACGCGACACCAAAAACTAATCGCTATCAGAGCCCAAAGGCTGAAGCGCGCTTTGTGCGCTGACCTGGCCAGGCCACCTGGCCGCCCCGGAGAGGACGGGCTCTCCCTCCTGCTGTCCCGGCCACAGCTCGGCGCATTTTTTTATGCTGACAGCAAGGCGGAGTCGCTTACCGGTGAGAAGCCACAAGCAGGCGACAGCGACCTCTGGGCCGGCAGAGCTCCGGGGGGCCATGGCTGGAGCCGCAGCAGCTGCGCCCCGGGAAAGTGCTTGTCCGGAGGGCAGGACGGGGAGTGACGCCACGAGCTCTGGGCCACTTCACGGTCTGCGCGGGTCTCCGTCCTCCGCGCCTGCGGGTCACACAGCCCAGGAGCGGCAGAGAAGTGATTTCCTGTCTTTTGGTCAAACTCCTTTAAGTTGGCTGCACGCTTTTCACCTCCTAAACGGATTGCCACATCGTCCGCTCCTTCGTGCTTTCAGTCGAAAATCTCACTGGCAAGGCTCCCGGGCTCTGTCCGAGACATGGACAAATAAAGCCAGCATCGCGGGTCCCTTTTTAGGCTAAAGTCCACCGGCCGGCAAGGCAGACCTTAAAGGGACATCTGCCTTTTCATTGAGAGGGTGATCTCCCTCTCCTTGCCAAAACCCATAAGGTAGTAGAGAGACCGGCAAAGGCTGGTCTTTGGCTAGGATTTTGCCCGCCCAGTGGCTCCGCCCTCACACCCCTGGCTTCTCCGGAGTCTGGACAGGAAGGGCACTGTAAAAGTGCCTGGGCCCTTGATCCCTTCAAGGACTGCTGCTTCTGGAGGTCCGATTGCTTACAAGAGCCAAACTGTCTGTGAAACTGAGCAGATCTGATATCCCGGTTTCCTGGGCTGGAAACTCTTGGACTTCCCCTTGAAGTCTTCTGGCCCTAAGGGAGGCGTCCCCGCCACGCCCCACCGAGGGCTCTGATTTTGCTTATGGAGGGGTTGCTTCGTTTCTGACTGGTTAAAGGGTGGCTGTAGATAAGTTGTGTTTGTTTGTTTGTTTGTTTGGTACAGAGGATGAACTGGGACCTTCCGCTTGCGAGGCAGGCGGCGGAACCACTGAACTGACTCCCCGGGGTTTTTTTTTTTTTTTTTTTTAAAGGGGAGGAAACTATGGTAAAGAGAGAAAGAAGAAATACGACCGGAAGAAAAGAAGGGAGGGACGTGCAAGAGGGAATGTGGGGGGGGAGGCTTCTTAGAATGTGTGTGTTCTATTTTAACCTGAGTTAGGATGTCTGTGCACCGGAAACCAAATCTAATAAGTCACGTAGGGCACTGAAAATCTGCATTAAATAGTATTCATGTTGTTTCTCCCAAAGACTGGCACTGGTGATGTGCTTGAGTTTGTGTCCATCCCTTGCTGGTGTTAAACAAACCTAGACTCAAGAGCCACATTTACACGATAGATTCAACAAATACTATTTTCAAAGCAGCTGAGTCTCAGCGGTCTCGAGAATTTCAAAGAGAAAGGAACAGATGACTGGGTTTTAGGTTCAGAAGTGTTTGAAGGAATCAGTTCAACATCCAGCACGCCTAGAAAAGGTAGGACAAGAGTGCTCCCAAAAGAGGGCTACCTTGGTTCCACCGCCTACCTCCCAAGGGCAAGGTCCCCAGTTGGATTCCAGGAACAGGAAAAAAAAAAAAGGCTACTTGCATAGAACACAATACAGGACGTGTTACACCGAACTCAAGGGACAAGAGGGAGGGAAGAGGCCCACAGGCATGATTGTATATATTGCTAACTAAAGGCATGTGGCAACTAAAATTTGGAGAAGACAAATGTTAAAGAGGTTAAGGAAAGTGAAAAGTAATGTGGGAGAGAGGAGAGGTTGTAGACTTAATCAAATGTCAGTGCCATGACCCATTAGCCAAGGAATTCCTTTTCTAGTTAATGAATTTGAGGTAATTTATTTATGCATTTGGAGTGATTTATTACTAAGTAAATACACTAAAATCCTGTTTCACCCTGTTTTTAGGTTTCATAATGTCATAGTTTTAGTTTCAACATTATATAATTAAATTCTAGAAAAATATTATTCTTGGGTGATAGTCCAATCCCATTAGATATTGCTGGGGCTCCTTTGCTTCCATTCAACGTTTTTATATCTTTCCAAAGAATGATTTCCTGAGTACATCTCATCTCTCTGTGTTTGGTCTCAGTTATATCATCTGTCTATGAGTATAATAAATTGGGCCTTGCAAAATATTAATTATTGCATAATAAGCATATTGATTAATACTTAAACATTTAAAAATCATAATAATTTGCTTAAAAAGTTCTCAAAGTTGCTTAGTGTTCAAAAAAGAATAATGTATGTTTACATTATGTGTATATTTATGTATATATATATATGCAAACATGCATTTTCTATGTGTGCAAACATATATATACATATATATATATATATATGTTCATACATATGCATTTATATCATTCCAGTAAATTGTAATGTATTTCATTGGGAAAAATAAAAAGGAAAGTATAAAACATCTTATTGAAATAATGTAAGGTGAAAATACACTTATGTGATCAAAGCTACAATTAGGAAAGCCTTTTCCTCTCATTTCTAGGGCCAACATGTAATTTTAATTGTTAAGCATCTGTCTTTACTCTAGGACTTAAAAAATTTAATGGTCATGACTGCTAATGTCATTGATATTATTAAGATTAATTTTCATATGTGTAAAGAATCTTATTGCAATAGTTATTGATATTTATTGTGTCAAATCAATGCAAATGTAGAGAATGAAAAATGGCTATTGTTGGAAATTAAATTTAGAATAACTGCTCACAATAAACTTAAATTTAAGTCAATGTCATGCAAGACATTTTCTTTCTGTATTCTGACAGACAGGAAGACATGTCATTAAATCATTAAATAAGATTGGGCTGGGATTTAGCTCAGTGGTTCAGTGGCCTACCTTGGACCCAAGTTCAGTCCCCGGTACCAAAAACAAAAACAAAAACAAAACAACAACATCAAAATATCATTAAATAAGCTGAAATTTAAAGATAAACATTTGTTCAGCATTACAAGCCAATAATTACACGAGGATAATTTATACAATATCCTTTTGTACTTTAAGTGAGACCTGATCTGATCATGTCTCAGGGTTTGGAACCATGAGTGAAAAATTAAAAATCCAAGAATTTGAATACTGATCTGATTAAGAATTTGGACATAAGAGCATATGAAATAAGGCAAGAGTATTTGGGATTATTGGAAAATAATCTTACAAAGAAAAACATACACTTTACAGCAAAGTATTCTTCTTGGATTTAATCTAACATTCTGAGGAAAACTACTGCAGTAAATAGTATTCTGGAGTTACAGTGTGTGGGTTAAAACTCTATAATCATAATTGAATAACTGTGATGTGGAAAAAGTTATCTAATATCTCTGAGTCTTGATTTTTTGAATCAAATGAAGACAAAAATAGTGCTGTTCTCTGAAATTATTGTTTAAAAGCAGCAAAGTACATGCATTTGGCACAATAACTGAGTTGAAATAAGTCCTCAATAGATAGGAGTCATTCTTTCAAGTGTTAGGTGGAGAGTGGAATAACGGGGTAGACCCCGTGTGTGGTAGGCCTTGCAGGAACTGATAACCATTTGATGGCCATAAGAAGGTGAGTTCAATTGTTTAGCTAAAAACATCTCCACCAATTCATTATTATTTCTATAATCCTCACATTTGGAATATTTATGTCATATTATGGAATTATCTTGATATACCTATACATATTGGGTAGACATTAAGATAACAGATCTCATTATAACATTAACAATAAAGTTTGCTAGTTCTTAAAGAGATTTTTTTTTTTAACAAGAAAAAGATATTTCACTAAGAGATTTGCAACAAAAGAGAGTCTAGGGCTCTGTCCCTGGTATATATGCTACAGTTCTTTGATAGTAAAGCAATGGATCCCAAACCCATGATACAAGTAAAGTACTCCCAATGGGAAGATGGTGCCAAGTTTACTATGTAACAAATAATTTGAAAATTGTTCCATGTTTAAAAAACAGATTTTAAGCTGGGCATGGTGGTGCATGCCTGTAATCCCAGCACTTGGGGACTGAGGCAGGAGGATCGCTGTGAGTTCGAGACCAGCCTGGGCTACATAAGGAGTTCCAGGTCAGTCTCAACTACATAGTGAGACCCTGTCTCAAAAAAAAAATAAATAAATAAATAAAAATAAATTTAAAAACATTTTATAAGAAAATTTAAAATTACGTTTTTAAAAAAGTTAAATATAAGATTTCAAATAAGCTTTAGGGTACCATCAAACCGTGCTTTGAGGAGAAAAAGCTCTCTTCATCCCCTCCATTCTGAGGAATTAGAGGTAGCTAAATTGTTTAAGACTACTTCTGTTTCTACAGTGATTTTATAAAGATACAGTTCTTAAAATTTTACTCTAAGCACACAAGAAAATATATGACAATTTACTGATGCTAATTCACAGGCCTAACCCTTGTAGGCAACAAATTCAGTAATCAATAATTTTTAACGTCCTCATGTATACTTGACTCCAGGGTTATGTTCTTCAGAGGCAGAGATGGATAGTATTTTTTTATTCTATTGCAAATCTGCTCTCCATTAAGTTCTTTACTTATAACTAGAAACAGAAAATAAGTAGTTTTGTCCTTAATTCTAACATCGGCATATTTCTTTTAAAGCCTGTTTTATTAAGTGAAGTCATCTAAATTAGTTACTGCTTCAATACCTCAAAACTCATGATTGCTTCCTCTATGACCAAAATAAAGTCACAGTGATGTGGATCTTTAACGACATCACTACCCAACCGTTTGTTTTTTTTGTTATTGTGCAATGTTATTGTGCAATGGTTTTATTTCATTTAAAATAAAAAAATAGGTGTTCTTTCTGCTCAATTTCCTGAACAAGTTTGTGCCAGAAGCCTGATCCAAAGACATCTGGGCAACTAGTATTTCAGGAAACAAAAAGTACTTTCAGAATTCTGGTGAAATATGCTTCCTAATACTGTAGGAAACTTCTCTCCATTTACTGGATGACTTCAACATGAGTGACACATCAGGGCTAAAGCAGGGATGGTGAACCAGGGTGGTACCCTGGCAGTATTTGTGAATTTGTGGCACTCTGTGACTCATAATTACCACTGACTGATGAAGAGAAGCATTTTAGCTACACTGCCGGGTCCCATATTTCGAATATGAATTTGTGATGTTTTATCATACTTGGTATTTGAGCAAGTCTAGGATCATTTGGGCCAGACAATTTATTTTCCATTGACCAATTTCTAAACTGTTAAAGTATGTTGGTTCCACAACTGCAACAAATAGATGTTTATTAGTATTGCAAACCAAAAATGTTATTATTTCTTCTAGCAGGACTGTGTCATTAAATGCAGGTGGATAAATACCTTTTCTTTTTTAAAAAAGTGAAACAAGTCAAGAGAAAGGTAGTCTGTCATTTCATTCTGAAAGAATGTTTAAATAGCTTGTTTTACAATTAGTTCTTTTCTCTTCTACACTAAAATCAGTTATTCACTTTTATTCTTGTAGCATCCGATTTCATGTAATTTCGATCATCCAGTCATTCACGAAGTTTCATCTATGCAGCAGGAGAGGGGTAGCTAAAGCCCTTTGGGGTTCACATCTTGCCACAGACTGTCCCAGGTGGTGGACATGGAACTAATGGGGTTTAATGTTTGCCCTGCTGGACCTAGGTCTTATTTTGGTTCCATTCTTTTCTGTCTTCCTGTTTCTCACTTTTGTAATGGAAATGTTTATCCTGTGCCATTGTAATTTGGAAGTGTTTAACTTTCTTTTCATTTTTACAGAAGTCACAGCTCAGATTTTGCCTTAAATTTCAGAGGGCACTTTGAACTTGGATTTTTTTTAGCAATGATGAAACTGTTGTGGCTTTGGTAAATCTTAGAGATGGACTAAGTGTATTTTGCGTAAAGAATGGCCCGGAGGTAGAATGCTATGTTCCCCCAATACCTCATGCTCTCATAAGGGATTTATGGAGGTGAT